AACTTGTGTAGACAACGCATGTCAAGGCTAACTAAATTCCATGGGCTTACTGTTTTGCGGATGTCTAGGGGATTGGTTATTTTGGTAGGTGGGCCAAAGCAAATAGTTGATGCCAAGACTACAGCACATTAAGAAAATGGTTCACTTTTCAAAAAGGAAGAGATAGAGACGCCAGAAAACATTACAAATTATATTTTACTGATACTGTAAAAGCTGTGTTTTCCGGCACTTTACCATCCGGAATGCTCCATTAACCGGCATCTGTCATAGATGGCATCTGTTGTTTATGGCAGTGGACTGATGCAGCAAAAGCAAAATCAGAAGTCCCACCATGGCACTTCTGGTTTTGCCGAGTCCCACTTCTTCCTTGAAGACCACAGCCCCAGGACAAAGCAGCCTGCACAGGGCCCCTCTCCCTGACCCCCAGCACACTGACACTAGGGAGCAAAAGCCCTGGTGCACTGGCAAAGACGCCTCCAACCCGCTGGCAATAAGCTCTCAGATAACAGGCGTATTTAATTAAACGGCACCCCATTCCCCATGGATGCCAGATAACAGAGCTTTTACTGTACTTATAAAAGTGATAATAACATCTATAAAACACAATATAGGTAAATATACCACAGTTCAAAATACTGCAGTTTACTGAATAACAGAATCTTGAAACATCAGTGCCTCCAGAACAGTGATAGTCACATATACAAGATCTGGTATGCAGGGTTGTGTCACTTGATCCACAGGGCTGCAATTTGGCAACAGCATGCCAGTGCTGCAGTTCCCAGAGCTGCAGCAGTGACCATTGCTTCTGCCACCAACTTTCTAGCCCTGCAGGATAGGTGACATAGCTCCATACTCCATATTTGGCCTGCAGGGCTCCTCAAAGGTCTGGAAACTTGACAGCAGGATAAGCTCTGCCATCTCTCTCACTATGGCCTCAAATTTCAGGACTCATAAGGAGCTACACATCTTGTTAATTCCTGATCTACAGCAGTATTTCTCAACCCATGAGTTGCAAGAGTGTGTGAAAGCATCATGAACAAACTTTAAAAATGGATCATATTTTGCATACATTTGTTAAAAAAAGATAGTGCTTGAGCTTCACCATATATGTTAACACTGTGCATACTAGTAAACAGGAATCCAGGTATTCTGTTTGCTGCAGAAAAGGACAGATTTTCTCTTTCAAAGGTTTTCCCCTTCCAGGCCGGCAGAGTTCCAGCCTACAAGTGGCTGCAGGGAACAAGAGGAGGGCAATCAGGCAGGGGGTGCGCCACATGCATGTGCGTGTGTAAACATGCACATGGCAGCCAGGCAGCGTGGAGAGCATCTCCCACAACTTAAATGACAGAACTGATGGGGGGGGGGGTATGCACAGACAATGTACTGGGGAGGTGGAGGGAACACAGACAACACATGGGGGGAGGGAGGAAGGAGGGGCACATGTCCCCCTAGATTTGTGCACCCATAGGGGAGACAGGGCTGCAGTCTAGCCAGCCTTGCACAGTCATGAGCTGCCTCTGCAGCCCAGTGGGCAAGACCTGGCACAGGAAAGCAAAGCAGGGTAGCAAGACTCTTTGCTGCCACCACCACCACCAGAACCCCCACACCAGCCGAGTCACCAGCAGCATAAGGAATAATGGATGTGGGTGGGTGCCCTCACCTCCTCCTGCAACCAACTGCTCATGCACCAGGCTGTGGCTCTACCCAGTCACCATGGCCCAACCGCTGCTGCCACCACTCCCCTCAGGACACAGTCCTATCCCAAAGGGAAGGAGAGACGGCGGGCAGCCTGAGGGAAGCACCAGTGGTGGCCCACCCATGGTGGTGGAATAGAGCTACGACTTGGCACACGAGTGGCTGGCAGCAGCTGGAGGTGAGGGCAGCATGTCCATTACTACACATGCTTGGGCAGCTGAACGTTCCCCTACCCACAGCATTCAAAAAAGAAAAACCAATGTCATGAAATTTAAAGATGGAAACATTCACAACTAAAGAAATATTTTTTCACCAGATGCAGAATTAGCCTATGGAATTCACAGAACCAATATTCCACCAAAGTGAAGAATTTTGTGGAATTCAAAGTAAAAAATGGGCATGCATACAAGAATATATACCTTCATGTATCAGCGTGTAGCAGACTGCTACAGAAAGGATATAGGCAAGATGGATCTTTGTTTACTACGCACTTTCCATGCACCTAAACAAAGTTAAACTATCAAAATTTAACACTGCATTCTTGTTTAGGTTGAGTCAAATAGAAGAGAGGAACCAGTTTAAAAACATTTTTAAAACATCTGGACTGAAAAACTAAAAATCAAGTTTCAAATTTTGGCAAAGAAAATTTCTGTATGTTTTAATCATCTCCAGTGGTGAACAAGCCTAACTTTGTTAAATAAACTCTCTCTCTAATGTACATAGTTCGCTGCAATTACCTTCTACTATTGTATGCAAAAATGTAAGTTTATAAAATCTAGCCCTTGCTGTGAATACATTTGTATCTATTAAAAGACCAAAGGTAGTCTAAAAATGAATATAAATGTCCTGATGCATCATCCCTCAGTACACAGACCTTTCACTGGCATTTTTGGCATATTTTGGAAATTATATTTACTTACAGCCTTAGAAGCAGTAGTAATATATTGCATAACCATTTCTTTTTTGGTACTGAAGTCCTTTTCTCGCAACGGAGTCTTTTTGTCTTCATTTAAATTCATATCTTCCTAGGGAAGAAAAAAGAATTGGGAAAAAAAAGTTTAAATTGGCAACTCATATTTCACAATAAAAAAAAAGTTACTAAAGCCTTAAAGTAGATTTCAACCCAGATAAGCATTTTAAGTTTCAAAGTTCTTTATGTAAAACCTATGAAAAATGGCAGATTTTCAATTACTGAGAGTAATGAAGAAGTTATAAAGTTCTGCTTGTGCAATCTAAGGTAAAAAGAACAAACAAAATTATTATTTTTTAAATTCCTATGCTTGGTTTTAAGTTTTTTGTTGGTTTTTTTGTTTTTGTTTTTTATTCATACTGCTTAACATTTCCAACTTCATGACAGTAATGAGCTGAACTGTGCAAAGATCTAACAGTGGAAATACAGGATCCAATGAAGCAGTATTCATATGTGGAAAAGCAACAAGTATTGCAGCATTCTTAAACTGAATCCACCCAGTGTTCTTTGAAAGATCAGTTAATAATTAGATTCCCATCACCTGTAATACTTTGCCCCAAGCTTTTAATCTTGAGCTTTGGGGTCTGCATTTTCCTAAGAGCACACTGACAAAGTTTACACCTCAAAAATATATCTTCCCTACAAACAAGATTTGATCTGTTGATTGTAAAACATACAAACAAACAAAAAAAGCCCAAAAAGCACAACACTTATTCTGATTGATCAGAAAAAAAATGCATCTCAAGTCTGCAACACATTGAAAATTAATCTATCAGCCTGGGCTTGTAGGTAAGGAAAGGCACAGCAAGAGCTATTATTTCAGAAGAGAGTAAGGTTTGTTTCTCATTTTGCTTTCTTTCATTATTCTTATTTTGAGTTGTATATAACTGGAGGAAGGACCAACCTAGTGTAAACCTCATAGTTACAGGAAGACATTAACATCAAACGCACTTAATGGTTTAAATGAAACTTTCAGAAAATCTACTTAAGTATAAGTCTGTCAATTACAAGCAACAAATATTTTCTCCTTTATATTATTTTTCCCCCTATAGCATGCAAATGAACCTGCACAATAGCATACTGGCGTACCCAGAAAAAGTATAGAATTGATATAAGGCACAGAGGCCTTTACAGAGAGGTCTTTCACTAAGTTATTTCAGGAAGAAAAATAAAAGGATACATTGGTATTATCTACCTTAACTACTGAATATAGTATCAAATCAGATTTGACTATCTTTATTTCCATAAACACACCTAGAGGGAAAGGCTCTGCAAATGGTGGTCATATGGTGACATTGTCCACAACAGCATGTGGTATTTTGATCAGAACGTTTACAAAGCTACTGCTTAATTATCCCTAATTCCAATCCTAACAGTAGTTAAGTGCATCCATATTTCCAAAGATCCTTTTTCTTTGAGTTGAGTAGAGTCTGTTCAACCTAAGAAATATCTGAGTTGTGTGAACGTTACCACTACATTTATTGGGGGGGGGGGGG